TGGGGGGGGGGGGGTATAAAAATTAATAATATATTATTTCAGCTATAAAATGAATTTCCAATGACAAGCATCTTTCAGTTTCCAAACGAATCCATGAAATCTGCATCCGAACGAACCACCGAATGAAGCACATGAACAGAAAAACGTAGTGTTACGGATCGCGGAGACACCGAAGTGCTTTTTGGATCCAGAATCTCATTTTGATCTTTGGAAGTACAGTCGTAGATTAATATCGTAAGTGCTTCTTCGCTTTACCCATCAACTCTATACACTAGTTTATAAGCGTGTACCAATGCGGCATCTTAAAGCTGGTTAGTTTTCTCGACGTTATTGCGAAGCCTGAGCCGGTGGCTTTAAATAGAGAATAAATACATGATTAAACATGACCAATGTCATGCACGACGGCGTACGAAGCGAACCGGACTAATGTATAAAAGCGCTATGCCATCTGCCGTCAGTAAGTCTTCATCTTTAGCAGGTCGGTCTTTCAAAAACAAACACACACACACTCTCTCTCTCTCACACACACACAGAAATCCGCTCTCGCACACAAACCCCAAAGAATCAAACAAACACTCTTTCCAACAAAAGTGCACGATGAAACGAACACGAGACGTCTCATCATCTCCTTAACAAGCTGAGAAAACGACAACATTCTCCATATAATGATATCACTACCATCATAGCAGCCTAAAGGTACAACAGGAAGCAAAATAAGGTGCTTGTAGCTTATATGAACCCAGGAGGGTCTCAGAGGCGAGGGAAGTCGCTGGCGTATCTCATGCGGAGAGATTGTTAGCCAGCTCGATGAGCGCTAGTGCGCCGTGAAGACGCTCGCGCTGCTCTCGAAGACGCCTGCCGCCGCTCTTCTCTTCGTCCTGCTCCTCTTCTTCACCTTCATCAGACTGCAGGAAGTCCAGAGGGTCCTGCTGCTCCTGGTCCTCTATAGTGGTCTTACTCAGAGTCTTTGCTTTAGTCGGCGCGGGCGTCCGCTGCTCCCTCATCTGCCAGTATCTGACAACACAAACACGGTCACTCTGATGGACCTTCACGCTCATTAATGCACAACTAAAACCATAAAATAATAAATAAAAATAGACTCGATCAATCGCATCAAAAAAAAAAAAGTTGTTTCTATAATATACTGCGTGTATTTATTATGTATATACAAATACACACACACATGCATATACATATTTAAGAAAAATATGTTATGTTTCTATATTAAATAAGTATGATATAATTTATGTGAATATAAATATATACAATATATATACTGTATTGCAGTGGTTATATTTACAAATTGAATGTTGCAATGACAAAATGTTGCACTCAATTCAAAGTTCAAATGTTACAAAAAAGTTACAATGTTGATGTTGTAATACTGGTAGCAATAATATAACAATTTGAAGGTATATGTTACAAAAAAGTAACAATTCTGAAATACGTTGATGGTTGTATTTTTTGTCTTCCTATCAGTGTTGTACAAGGTTTTGTATAGTAACCATAGAATATGATCAAACAGCTTAAAATAGCTGGGCTAAGATATGTGAAAAGCAGTGTTAAGTCGCTGGGGGATATTTGTAGCAATAGCCAACAATACATTGTATGGGTCACAATTATACATTTCTCTTTTATGCCAAAAATCATTAGGATATTAAGTAAAGATCATGTTCCATGAAGATATTTAGTAAATCTCCTACCGTAAATATATCAAAACTTAATGTTTGATTAGTAATATGCATTGCTAAGAACTTCATTTGAACAACTTTAAAGATGATTTTCTCAATATTTAGATTTTTTTGCTCCCTCAGATTCCAGATTTTCAAATAGTTACATTTATAACAGCTGAGTGGGTTTTAGGGGGTCTAACAACGCCCCTTAGCTGTTATAAATTCACTGTAAACCAAGGCTTCTTTCTTTATTAAACGGGTTAAATTCGACGAATATTTGAAATTAAATTTAGTTTTGACAGCCCTTGGAGTGTGTGTTGATGTTTTACTCACTTCGCCAGCCATTCGGCCACAGCCTTGTCATCGGCTCCCTGTGATTTCCCGGGGCCACCCGCGGGCTCCTCGCGCTTCAGCCGAGCGTATGGGTGTTTGGGACAGTGACGGTTAGCGTGCGTGAATCGGCTACTGCAACCTGAAACACACGAGGAGAAAAACAAAGCTTTGAAACACACATCAACAAACCTGTGTTATTGAGTATCACTGACTATGTTTACTGCTGTTTAATTAATTTTTTTATTAGCTGTGATTCTTTTTTCATCTTTGATGAATTAAGAGTTAAAAAAAGAACACCCTTTATTTAAAATAGAAATCCTTTTTTAACAATACACTACCATTCAAGAGTTTGGGGTCAGTATCTTTTCTCTTTTTTTTTAAATAAATTAATACTTTTATTCAACAACGAGGTGTTAAATTAATAAAAACGTCATAGTAAAGACTTGTATTGTTAGAAAAGATTTTTATTTTGAATAAACTCTGTTCACAAGTTTTCATTCATCAATAAATCTTGAAAAAAGGAAAAAATGTCCCCCCCAAAAATGTCATTTTTCAAATTTGTATTAGTTTGCATGCATGTGAGCCTATGTTCAAACAAGATGTTTATATATGATAGTTTTATAAATTTCCCCAAATTTCCAATTAATTCCCCAAAATTCCTGGCAAGTTTCAAACTTGGAATATTTCCAAAATTCCCCAGACGAAGTTCCCATGGAAACTTACCTGAAATGTTCCGCCCCTTTGCAACCCTATCTACTTGGACATCAGTAATCTAATTATTTACCTCATAATATTGAATAAGACAATACTATGATTAAGGTGTTTACTAGGGGTGATTTTTGAGGCCGATCACAGAAAGCAGTATCAGTTATTCAGGGCCTGAATTTCATTTTTGAAAATGAATTCCCCTCTTAGGTGACTCTTGTGAGAGGGGATGTTTTAATTTGAGGGGGGCTTTTTTTTTAATTTTATTTTTTTTAGACATTTTCTCACCTAAATGTTTGATCATGCAGTGCATTTTTTCATGCATTGCATCAATCGTGCAATTGTTGCACACTAGCTTACACACAGCGCAAGCCTGATTTCGTGAGCTGTGTGTGAGGCGGCCTTTTAACATTTATCCATTATTCTGATTTCAAATCCAAACATCGTCACTGAAAATGCTTTTTCAGCATTGATTCTATTTTTTTTTTAACAGTACACCAATACAAATGTTCGCAGACGTGTTTAAATGCAATAAATATAAGCAACACATTATTCAATACTTTTTACTTTTGCATTTACTTCTAGATTGATACATTAAGTTGCTCAAGCAAGTGGCAAACCATTTAATTAATAATTAATAATAATTTATGCATTTAGCAGATGCTTTTATCCAAAGTGCATTCAGGCTATACATTTTTTACCAGTATGTAAAAATTATTTAAATTACTTTTCTTACATACATTATCATTGACAGAAACAGTCAGCTCTACTGCCTTCTTTTTTGCATTTAATTCTTTATTACAAGCATTCCTGCGGTTCATAAAAACCGTTGTTTTCCTACCTCCACGAGTGCCATCTATTATTACCTCGTTTATCTAAAAGTGCTCTTTTCCTTTAAACCTAGCCAAAAGCCATAGCCTGTGTTGACTGTTAAACACCGTAGACTTTAATTATGTGTATTTATGGTGTAATTACTACATTTTCGTGTCAATCTATGTTCATATTTACCCCAATAAAGAGTCTCAAGCATGGCTTTAGTCAGATTAAGGTAATCAAAAATCTGTTTACATGGTAGATTTTTAATCAGAGTATTATTGTCTTAATCGTGTTAAAATCGGAATATTGTTGTCCTTGTAAATGTACTCACTGATATACTATTATAGTGTTTGCTCAGTTTGAATTGGATTTTATTTTTATGTGTGTTTTAAAAAAACCGAGCGGGTGGATCTTCATCATTACAGGGTGGTTGTGTGCACGCACTGCTAACACACATTTATGTTCAAACAACTTGTAAACGTGAATTTTGCATAATAGGTGCCCTTTAAGGGCCGCTCACAACTAGGACAATAACTATAATGATAAAGATATAGTTTTAAAGTTGTTCTAAATGTAAAAGAACAGTCAACATCACAACTATAATGATAACGACACAAATGAACGATGTTGTTGAAATCACTTTCAGAGCAACTTTTTTTAAACTGACGATCAATAAAAACTAGGGCTGTGTATCACCAGCAAAGATACGATACGTATCACGATACAGGACTGCACTGAATTTCACCTCAGCAGAATTGAGTAAAACAGCTGTTTATTAAACACTGCTTACTATAGTGCCATTTCTAGCTATTGGCAGAGCAGCAGCTGAGCTCTGCATTATGAAGGGCCTCCAACAGGGTTGCCAGGTTGATAAAGATAAGTAGCACACTTAGCAGATATTTCTGTATTGCGCAAGTGTGAAGCTCTGTTTTGGGGATAACGTCTCTTTATATCAGGACAGTTGTGTTCCTCTGCGGCCAGATTATTAACAGATGCTCTATTCATTCTTTTTTAGAAACCTCACACTTTTTGACTCAATTTTAAACGTTGTAAAATTAAGCGTGGTCCACTGCTGCACACGTGCCACAGTATCGATACAGGGCCTGCTTGGCAAAACATTCAACTCTAAATTAACCGATAAAATCGCGTTGATTTGCAGCTAAATCACTAGAGTGAACACTAGAGAAACTAGTTCATACTTGTGTTTGTAATGCGGTTTAGTGAAAGCAGTAGAGTTGGGTATCGTTTGAATTTTATAGATTCCGATTCTTAACGATTCCAATAAGATAAAAAAAATCCCAAAAAAGCCTACAAAACACTTAGGCCTACAAGAGGAACTTTTGCCTATGCTTTAAAAAAATACCACAGCAAACACAATTAAGACTATAAATTTCAAATATTAAAGTGTTAAAGAGAAGTAATCAGTCAGTAATAAAATAGGAACAAACAAATCAATTAGCAACAGCCTAAATAAACACAACTGAGCCCAATTTCAGGTACAGAAACAATAATTACAAGTTTAAAAACACTGCATAATGTAGATTCTTAATTACATTTATTCAAGATATTCAGTCAAGATGAGTGAATTATTTTCTTTTGTTCTTCGATTAACATTAACGACAGGCAGTGCGTTTATTAGGCTGCTGTCTCTTTAACACCGAATGCACGCAGATCTAAAAATACTGCACACGTGTGTTTTCGTTCTCATCTGTTTACGTCCACTTAAGACAAAAAACAGCTGTGTTTATGATGATATACTGACATAGTTTTCTGCATACTGGTCGATAAATGCGACCCTGGAGCACAAAACCAGTCATAAGGGTAAATTTCTCGAAATTGAGATTTATGCATCAGCTGAAAGCTGAATAAATAGCTTTGCATTGATGTATGGTTTGTTAGGATCGGACAATATTAGAAAATCTGGAATCTGAGGGTGCAAAAAAATCTAAATATTGAGAAAATCATCTTTGGAAATGCATGAAACGGTTCGAGAACGGACACAAGCTGGGATTCGTTAAGCTGAATCGAAATGCACGCGTCTTGTTGAAAACCCGGTTCTTGGCACCGGGTTCTCGATACCCAACCCTAGAAAGCATTGAATGCTAACGCTCACCTTTCTCCGAACAGACGAAGGGTTTTTCTCCGGTGTGCAGGCGCTGATGGGTCTTCAGCTGTCCGCTCTGGACGAAGGCTTTCCCGCAGTCCGGATAATCGCACAGGTACGGTCTTTCACCTGAGACGAGAAGAGGAACGTTAGCGCTCTCGCTCTGATGCCGGAACACAAATACGGCTCACTGTGGCGGCGCTGACCCGTGTGCGTGCGCTTGTGCGCCTGGAGAGATTTCTCGCGGGGAAAGACGCGGTTGCAGATGTTGCAGCGGATGTGGCTCGTGGAGTTCTCGCCCTCGTTGATCAGCTCTCGGACGGTGTCTGCCCGCGGGCGTCCGCGTCGAATGCCATCCTGAAATAAGACCGCAGGAACATGAATGATACATATGTGTCCCTGCAGCACAGAAGCAGTGTTAAGTCGCTGGGGGATATTTGTAGCAATAGCCAACAATACATTGTATGGGTCACAATTATACATTTCTCTTTTATGCCAAAAATCATTAGGATATTAAGTAAAGATCATGTTCCTTGAAGATATTTTGTATGTTTCCTACCGTAAATATATCAAAACTTAATGTTTGATTAGTAATATGCATTGCTAAGAACAACTTTAAAGATGATTTTCTCAATATTTAGATGTTTTTGCACCCTCAGATTCCAGATTTTCAGATATTGTGCGATCCTAACAAACCATACATCAATGGAAAGCTAATTTATTCAGCTTTTTCAGCCACTATTGTCTTTTAAAGAGCTGAAATGGAGTTTGTTTTCATTATTGATGCATTTTGCAACATTAATGCTGTTATTTTCTTGCTCGTTTGATACTGTGAAGCTGCTTTGAAACAAGCTGTACTGTAACACAATGGCTTTACTTACTGCGAGAGAATAATAATTACAAACTTTATATTTTTTAATAGCGCCATTAAAAGTTGCATTTTACAAAAAGAACAAATACATTGGAATACAAAATAAATAAATGAAATAATACTGAAAACACACGTTGACAATGAAACGCGGCATAAAAGATAATATTTTATTAATACAAAACAGTGGCACATATTAAATATAAATTATGATCCAATAATGTTATACATGAAGTGCCATATGTAATAAACAAATAAAACACTGTAATTACATAATAATAGCATATTAAAACCACATTTATGGTTGCTTTATTTTACGGTGTCCTAGTTAGTGTAATGATGCATATTAATTATCTACATGTACTTACTATATGTACTTAATATGTAATGATGCATTTTAATTAAACGTCTGTTAATGTACGCTTCGAGTAAAAGCGTATGATTTAAAGCAGGGCACTCTAAACAAAACACGTTGTACAGTCGTGTAAATGTGATACGGTTATGTTAGCAGTCATGTTGGAGTTTTCTAGAAGCATTACTCGCTCACTTTTTTGGCGCGCACGTCTGACGTCACGCCTAACTTCCCAGGAGGAGAATTTAAATCCCGTTCGAAGCGCGCCTTTTGCATATGACGCGTTACTGTAACGGTTTTAATATGCGCGCTAAACCTCAAAATCACTTCGCGTAGCATTAATACGTGCTGATAAAACTCTCAGTTATACAGTACGCGTTATTAGTACAGTACAGCTCGTCTCACCTTGAGGAGCTCGTCGGATTCGGCGGGAGAGCCGCGGGTTCGGGTCGGCGAGGCGGTCGCGCTGCCAGAGCCGGGGCTCAGAGTCACGTTGTGCGCGTTTTCGCCCCAGCGCCACGGGTACACCATGAAGTCGCTGAACCCGGGGCTGGTGGGCATCAGGGAGTCCGCCGCTTGGGGCTTGCTGGGCGTCGTCTTGATCACGGACACCAGGACTCTCTTCGGCGAGTCGTTGCAGAATATCACTTGATGCTTGCTGTCAGCCATCGCGAATAACGTCCGGTTAAAATGAAGCTTAGTTAAAAATACGTGCAGTTGGAGGAATATCCCGCCGTGTTATGAAGTCAGTCATTCCCAGAGTATCGCTGTGCAGGACCGCGACGCGTCTGGCTCCGCTCTCACTGGAGGAGCTGCTGCGGTGACCCGAACTCGCTCGCTAGTTTCCCGCGTTGGAAATCGCGCCAGAGCGCGGCGCACAGCCAATCAGCGAAGAGGAGGTTACGGCGCTGGCGCCGCGCGCAGAGAACGAACCAATGGCAGACGCCGTGACTTTCGCGCAGCCAATCACAGATCGCGAATCGTGCCTCGACGCCGCGACACTTTCTAAATATGGCAGCGCGCGCTCTTTCTGACGGACGCAGCGGTTGTCCAATCACACGGCTCGTTGTTTACGGCAGTGTTTTTTTTGTACAGCGCCATATCTCACTCTATAACGAAAACATTACACATGCCTCAACAAGAAGGAACAAGGGAAAAAAAAAATAATAATAAAACAAGCATCCGTTTACAGACAAATACATATATTTAAATTCCATAGGATATTACAAAGCGCATTTTAATACAGAAAATATACTTCGCAGGTCAGCACCATTATTTATTATATATCATGTGAAAATGTTAAAGGAGGCGCATATATGAATCGTTGTACTTGCTTTACTGTGTTTAGAGTTTTACTGTGCGGCAGTGTTGCCAGGTCTGCGGGTTTCCCGCTTAATTACCGCGGGTATCACACGGCTCGTTGTTTACGGCAGTGTTTTTTTTGTACAGCGCCATATCTCACTCTATAACGAAAACATTACACATGCCTCAACAAGAAGGAACAAGGGGAAAAAATAAAAAAATAAAACAAGCATTCGTTTAGACAAATACATATATTTAAATTCCCATAGGATATTACAAAGCGCATTTTAATACAGAAAATATACTTCGCAGGTCAGCACCATTATTTATTATATATCATGTGAAAATGTTAAAGGAGGCGCATATATGAATCGTTGTACTTGCTTTACTGTGTTTAGAGTTTTACTGTGCGGCAGTGTTGCCAGGTCTGCGGGTTTCCCGCTTAATTACCGCGGGTTTAAGCGACCCCAATAACGTGATATTTAGCCTATAAATGCGAAGTTTACCAGGAGAACCCCGCCAAACACACGATTTGTGTTTATGTTAACCGGAGGAGCGCTCCTCGAAACGGCATTGAGCGGGGGTTGTTGTGTAAACCTGGCAACCCTGCTGTCGTCCGCTCCGCTCGCGAGCTTTCCTGCAGTGTAACGTCTCCCGCGCTTAATCGATTTAAAGGGAAAGGCGGGCGGTGACGGTGGCGGGAAAGTGACGTAATCATGGTCTCCACACAGCGAACCCTTTAACCCCTTCATTCCGTCTCAGATAACAGCCTCCCGCGTGTCTTTCAGCACCTCGAGCTCAAAACATAACTTTGAAATAGTCCCGCAAGACTTTAGCATCACGTCCACATTTCGCGCGGTCCTGTCTCGTTTCAAAGAATTTAACTTTTAATGCGTGCTAGTAAAGGATACAAGAGTCCAGCATTAAACCCACATTTGTCATCTCGTGTAGAATTGCGATTCTTTTTGGGAGACATGCATGCTAATATTTTCTGTAAGAATTGATATAAGACACCACAGACATCAAGCCCCACCCAATATTCATATCACTAATCAACTACACCGCAAATCATGCAGCTTTAGGCTATTTGTAAACTATAAACACGTGTCCCACAACCCGGAAGTAACGTTTACACGTGTGTGCTGGATGAGGATTTTTAAACATGATTTTGGAGATTGCAGTCATAAAGCAATTTCTACTCAGATACGTTTATTAGATGAGCTTAGCCGGAACAATTATGCTTTACTTATTTTTGGAAGAAAAAAAAAAGTTTGTTGTTTTTTTTTTTTTAGTAGTTCATATGCTATTGTTTTCTTTACTAGTTATGGTTTTATTAACAGTTTAGTTGTTTCAGCACAAGTTAACCTAAATAACGTATACATATTTAAATAAAGGATTTTGATTGAGTTAAATGATTATTTTCTTTCTAAATGTGAATAAACAAATATATAATGATGTTCATTCAACAACTACATTTGCAATAGCAGAAGGATTTATTAAAAGGGATACGACTCAAATCCTTTACTATCATATATATGTGAAATAATCATGATTTAAATTTGCTCATCAAACTAAAGGTATGCGGTATTTACAGTAAAAATAAGACAGTCATGATTAGCACAGTATGATTCACATTCGGTCATATTTCTGTAAGTATTAATAAAGATACAGTATTTAAAAAAAAAAAAAAAAACACCATTACAGATTTAGTAACAATGCATAATGGCAAAGGCAGCACTCGTGATATTTACAACGGCATAAAAACTCAAACTTCACATACGCTTTAAAAATAAATGCATTGCTTTCTCTTGATCAAATAAAAATGCTTAACATCTGCTGATTTCGCACTAAACACTCTGGATATGGTTTATCGTAGATGACTCGGACGAAGCCATGAAGAAGTAAGACTGGAGTGGTATATCAGTGCAGGGATGTTGGTCTTCTCAGCGCAGCAGAGGAGCTCGAGCTTTGGAGATGGAGTTACTGTAAAACAACAAATACATTACAGACCAAACCCAGACGAGCAGAACGACGAGCACTCGTGCACATGCTCTAAACTCAGACGGATGCTGAGAAACGCTTTATAATTACGAAGCGATAAAATCATAAAAAAATAACATTAATATACATTATATATATATATATATATACACAATTTTATGCTAAAATAAGTAAGAATTATATATTATAATATAAAATAAACATGCATGATAATGAAATATAATCATTACTATATCAATTATCTACACACACAATATATAAATAACAAATAAAAAATGTCATAAAATATGCAAAATATAATGATAAAATAAAAAGTATTATAAATGTAAAATAATGCATGGAAATCTTACTTAAAATTACCTTGATGAATTAAAAAAAAAAAAAAGGTTACCTTAACGACCTTGATGTTGATTTGGGCTGTATTGTATTTTCTTCCAACCTGCAGATAAAGTAAAAAACTAAAGTTCAGTGTGACAAAAACATGCAAAAGGACGACAAAAAAAAAAAAAAAAAGCACAGACATTTGATGCATTAGATGCGTTGGTGTCTCTGATGCACAGACAGAGCGTCACACATGCAGAGAGAGAAGCCGCAGAATGATTCGACATCCCTCCCGTTATACGACATTACAATCACGTCGGTTCACACGCGTAGCATTTGATACAAAATCATCCTTTAAAGCCTCAAATGAGCTACACGAAGCAGAAAAACTTTATAAGACGACCGGATGGAGAGAGAAAAACTTTGATCATCCGGATCATCGTCCTCTGACAGCAAACACATGTAGGCTACATACATCAAAAATCATCCAGTTATGTAACGTGCGAGATACTGTTCATATGTTTACTGAATTAATGATTGGATTGTGTGCAGTGTTATAAAGTAAGGACAGATAAGGAGAGCAAGATACAATTATCAATGCATGACACACATATTACATATTCACAAGTGCTTGAGCAAAATGCAGTTAATGCACCGAGAGACAGCAAAGACTGACAAATCAAGCCACAAAAACTCAACACATCCAAACTGAAGTGTTTAGGGATGTTCATTTCGGTTATTTTTCCTAATAATATAAAAATATATTAATATAATAATAAATAGGCCTATACGAGAAAATGAAAGAAAAATTGTTCAACAAGTAGTATGCAGAGTTTCGGGTTTTTTTTCGATTTTTGTGCTGCACGAAAGGAAACCAAGACGGCAGAAAGCGGGATCCTATTTTTCTTTAGGCTATTTTATTTTACAAAAGCACAAAGATTTGTTTTTATCGTCAACGCAAATAAAAGCAAACCTTTTACAATTCCGATTATCTTTATGACTAAAAGGAGTAGTTGCTTCCACTGTCAGAAGGAAAACATTCAAGTGATTGCGCCGGCGCCGCATACGCACACAATTAAAGTCCCAATGAAATCAAAATTAAAAGTTTTTTGGGTGTTAGTATCAATATGTTAGTCTTAAGGTTATCTAGTGTGCTCCAAAACAGTAACAAAATTCGCATTTAGAAGATAGAAGCATTCAAAGCTTGCCGTTCGTCACTTCCGCCAAAGCGGCTCAACGATTTTTTGACGTCACATCGTACTTCATCTTCTCATCAAATCTTCGGACCAATCAAACGCTCTCTAGAAGCCGAAGCCCCGCCCCCTACACTATAAATAGACGCTGAAGCCGTGGCTGAGATCGGTCGCTTGTTCACAGTGTAGAAATATAATAATAAATAGGCCTATACGAGAAAATGAAAGAAAAATTGTTCAACAAGTAGTATGCAGAGTTTCGTTTTTTTTTCGATTTTTGTGCTGCACGAAAGGAAACCAAGACGGCTGAGAAAGCGGGATCCTATTTTTCTTTAGGCTATTTAATTTTACAAAAGCACAAAGATTTGTTTTTATCGTGAACGCAAATAAAAGCAAACCTTTTACAATTCCGATTATCTTTATGACTAAAAGGAGTAGTTGCTTCCACTGTCAGAAGGAAAACATTCAAGTGATTGCGCCGGCGCCGCATACGCACACAATTAAAGTCCCAATGAAATCAAAATTAAAAGTTTTTTGGGTGTTAGTATCAATATGTTAGTCTTAAGGTTATCTATAATCTAGTGTGCTCCAAAACAGTAACAAAATTCGCATTTAGAAGATAGAAGCATTCAAAGCTTGCCGTTCGTCACTTCCGCCAAAGCGGCTCAACGATTTTTTGACGTCACATCGTACTTCATCTTCTCATCAAATCTTCGGACCAATCAAACGCTCTCTAGAAGCCGAAGCCCCGCCCCCTACACTATAAATAGACGCTGAAGCCGTGGCTGAGATCGGTCGCTTGTTCACAGTGTAGTATTTCCTGTACGGTGAATGGCACGTAGTGTATAATATAGGCGATAGGGAACGATTCAGATAGTGTAAATATGCTTTCGATTGGTGCAAATGAGGTCTGGTTTCACGTTGTTTCACGCGAACCGCTGTAGCGCACGCAGTCAGATCCGGACTTCGCCTCCGGTCCAGAGACGCGATCGCACGGAGCGGATCATATGCGCGAGTCGGCATGTATTAAACACTTTTAAAACTACACAGCCTCAGCATGATTATGATCACTATTTTGTTTTACTAAGAGTTTCTGTTATTAGACTGTGGCTGTCAAATGCGGCTTTACCGAGCTCAACGGCTCTGACCCGTGCAGATATAAACAAAACGCTATTGGCCAATTTAAAAAGGGGGCGGGGCTGCTCGATATGTCCCGCCCTGTCTTCCTGGTTCAGTTGAAATTACGTCACCACATAAAATAACGTTGCGTGTTTCAAGGCACCTTTAAGCTTTGCTGCCTTGACAATGCAGCCCGTTCATTATCATCATAAAATACAGTCAGTCAAACATACGGAAAAAACACACTGCTCAGATTAAATATGTAGTAAAACCTGTGCTGTTAAGCGTCATCACCGTACATCCGTGGTGTTATGCAAAACATTTAGTTTTACGTGAATATTGGAACGAGAGTACATAAAAAAATATTTTGGCATTCAAATACATCGCGAATACGGAAACATTTGATTGCGTGTCGAATGAGAGACAACGGTGGTTTCAGTTTCGTTTGAGCCTAAATGAATTAGTTTTGGCTTGTCGTTTATATAGCTATAGCTTCTAATATTTTTAATTCTTGTTCTTTTTTTAAATACTGTTAATTGAAAGGATTTGTTGTGGAGTGAGGGGAACTAAAACAGCCTAGCTATGTTTACAGTGTTTGTTATAATGTTTGTAAACATTTCGCGTCGGCATTAGGCCCATTTCTGAATTAAATAATAAAATGCGACTTTACGCGACTTGCGTTTTTTCTTCTTCTAAAAAACACTTTTTTTTTTTTTTTTTTTTACGCGTAGCGTATTTTAACCATGCAGCAAACCTTTTTCAATATTTTGATAAGTTACTGGGGAAACAAAAAGTTTTAAACCATTTAACTAATTGTATTAATCAGTCAAAAATTATTACGGTCGGTTAACAGTTAACGGGTTAAAATGAACATCCCTAGAAGTGTTTCACAAATGAATCTGATCTCAAAGGAGCACAGTATTAAATATGTAGTAAAACCTGTGCTGTTAAGCGTCATCACCGTACATCCGTGGTGTTATGCAAAACATTTAGTTTTACGTGAATATTGGAACGAGAGTACATAAAAAAATATTTTGGCATTCAAATACATCGCGAATACGGAAACATTTGATTGCGTGTCGAATGAGAGACAACGGTGGTTTCAGTTTCGTTTGAGCCTAAATGAATTAGTTTTGGCTTGTCGTTTATATAGCTATAGCTTCTAATATTTTTAATTCTTGTTCTTTTATAAATACTGTTAATTGAAAGGATTTGTTGTGGAGTGAGGGGAACTAAAACAGCCTAGCTATGTTTACAGTGTTTGTTATAATGTTTGTAAACATTTCGCGTCGGCATTAGGCCCATTTCTGAATTAAATAATAAAATGCGACTTTACGCGACTTGCGTTTTTTCTTCTTCTAAAAAACACTTTTTTTTTTTTTTTTTTTTACGCGTAGCGTATTTTAACCATGCAGCAAACCTTTTTCAATATTTTGATAAGTTACTGGGGAAACAAAAAGTTTTAAACCATTTAACTAATTGTATTAATCAGTCAAAAATTATTACGGTCGGTTAACAGTTAACGGGTTAAAATGAACATCCCTAGAAGTGTTTCACAAATGAATCTGATCTCAAAGGAGCACAGTAACACTCCTCCTGTAAAGTTAAAGGATATTCTGGGTTTAATACACATTAAGATCTATTAACAGCAGCATGCGAGTCATAACGTTCATTACCACAAGAAATAATTGACTCGAACACTAATTACTTTAAGACTAAATTTAAAAGTGAAAATGAAAAAGCCACAACACAAACATTATACATGTTAACAGACTAAAGCGGGACTCGCTCATTAACCTCGTTATATAAATTTATATTCATTCATTTTATGCAAATATTTGGTAACACAAGGTCTCATGTGTTAACATTAGTTAATGCATTAAACTAACAATGAAAAATATATTTTTACACCATTTAGAAAAGATATATATTGTACTCTTATTAAATGTAGCATTATTCTTCTATGAAACTGACCAACAACTTCAGTGATTGTGTGTGATTTAGTCGCAAATTGAAGAAAAGTTTGTTTTTCAAAGCACTCTGTGACGTTTTTTTACTTCATACACACAAAAAAAGTGAAAATCTGATTTCTTGATGATTTGAGATTTTATAATTTCTAAATATAAAGGAAAAAGTATAAATGAATGACTAATGAGCCAAAAAGTGCTCCTCTGCTGCCATCTACATCACATTGTATTTGTTCAGCAATTTTTCATTAATGCAGTGAATGTTGTCATGTTATTACTGCATATATATTTCTCTTTTCAGTATTGATGAGAAATTTTATGTAAAAATATCATTGTATGAAATGTATAAGGACATATAACCTGAGAATTACCAGTATTAACTCCACTGCAAAGAATGGAATTTAATTAAATCTTTTAAATCTAAAACTAATTTTAAACTCATTTAAATGTAAAATTGCTCAAAAACAGTCTGAATTTTTGAAACATTTATTTCTAACAAAATATCAAAACAACAAATATTACTCAAACTTTGTTTTCAAACTAAATTAATTAATTTTACTCACATAAACTTTCACTTCCAGATGAAGAAAAAACGTGATCAGTTTTTCATGCTGCAATCCTATAGTGCGTCAATAGCGGTATATATTCATGCTTATCAACAAAATTCAGTCCCAAAAGCGTTGGAGATATGAGGTAAAGGCTAAATATATTTTACAAATGTTTTTTGACACTAATATAACAAATTATTTTAAATAAACTATTTTTGACATCTAATGGTACTCCATACATACCCGGGTCAAACTGACCTGAACATGAAATGTGTAACTTTTTATTTTAAAGGTTATAATATCTCATACAAAATAAATGTGTATTTTGAAGGTCTTAAAGTATCTGATTTGAATGCATTATAAGGTTTTTGATCGTGACTCTGTGCTGCAATAGTGCAAAATAGGGAGTCAATGCTCTTTATAGGCACTTTAATATTACAAAGCTTAAGCCTACTAGATAGAAACGGTTTCCAATTGTAAATTGAATCTCTATTCGCCGTCTGAGATCAGATCCAGTCCGCAGTGCAAATGAAAAAGACGACCAAAGCGAAATGACCACAGTGTGTTACAACAACACAAAGCAGTTAATACACTTCATGCATGACAAATCAAGCACAAACACCATCGTGCAAAGCAAAGACTTTGTGAAATGCTTCGTTAGAACATCTACTTTGACATCGTGCATGCTTGTAGTTAGACAAAAAGGGCTGAAAACGATATGTGAAGGTAGATTTCTACATGCATCTGACTGGAAAAAACACAGTTATGGTGAGACTTTTATCGTGACCCCATAAACACACTTTCAGAGATGCAAACAGGTAAGGAGGGAAAAAAAAGGTGAGAACATTGCGCAGATTGGGGGCATGCCCCAGACGGAATTTCTTTTAAAGATATTTGCTTTATATGCTCATTTGCTGTTACTTTAAGGTATTTATAAAAATATTTTTTATTACCTTATATGTCCAAAACGGTAATTTTTCACAAAACCCCCCCACAACGTTTAACATCTTTTATCAAGATTGAATATATTTGGTCAAAATCCCATGTTATAAAAGATGAAGTGCTATGCAGGCTATTTAAGACAATATTGGCTGATTGGACAGCAATGCTGACCTAAAATGCAAAATGTTTGCCCTCTCTCTCTCGCTCGCTCTCTTCACTGTTACCGCATATCAGACCTCAAATACATCAAATATTACCCTTTTTAGACATCCTTTTTAAAGTAAAGAGTAAAGAAAATACTATACAAAACTTATTGAAACAACCAGGGGCCAGTTGCATAAACTTAGCCCCCATGTTAAGACTGTAGCTGTGTCCCAAATGACGCACTGTACACTCATACACTATGTATAGTATTAATTATATAAAGTTATTTTGTCATTCATAATCGGAGTCTGATAGCCTCTCCCCCTTTGGTACGGCTTTAAAAGGATAGTTCACCCAAAAATGAAAATGTGATGTTTATCTGCTTACCCCCAGGACATCCAAGATGTAGGGGACTTTGTTTCTTCAGTAGAACACAAACGGAGATTTCTAACTCAAACCGTTGCAGTCTGTCAGTCATATAAT